GACTGCACTGGATTTTGTTATCACATTAAAGTGCGATTTTCAATGCCCAAGCAACAATAACGTGGGACTAAGGTATTTGGTTGTGTGGATTAGAATCATTTTTTTTGTTATTGTTTCTATAACTTGGCCTTTTTTTCCTTTTTCATTTGAAAAATAATATTTTATTAGTTGAATATCAATGGTGTTGTTAATTTTCTATTTTAAATAGACTTATTATTCTTTTATTATTTTACTTTAATCGTGTGATTCAAAAAACCATGAAAAGCCAAGAATTTGAAGGGCTACATGAGCACTTGGAGAGGAATGGTTTCACAACTCTTATTCCATGCAACCAATGGGTTCTGCATCCTTTGAGAAAAGATTGAATTGATATTTGGTGTGCAAGAGAAATGCTTGAAACAGTGATGATAATAAAAATTAGGCTTGAATGAATGGGAAGTGAGAGTTTTGGGACATGGGTGATTATAATGATAAGTGGTCGGCGGTACATTTTTAAACTAATTTTTTTAATGAGAATTATTTCTTTTTTCAATACTTCTGAATAAATGACTATTCGTTTGGAGTTTGTGTATGGGTTCCATATGTTTAATACGTTTTTTTATGGATAATAATTGTCCTTTATTAAACTCAGGTTCATAGTGTTATGCAAATAGTTTGGAGAGACTTAGAAGAAGCCATTAAGACTATATGGCTGATAGCTATTTATAAAGACTGTATTCTTGGTTTTTGGCTTGATTGAACTTCAGTTGCAAGGGAAAATTCAATTCAATGGAGTGAATTTTGATATGTTTACTTGGTCGTTACTAATTTTTTTTTTTTTTATCAGAGTTTTGTCTATTTGTTTTATAAGATTTATTGGGGACTATTTTTGTTTTACAATGTTTCTCAGTCACGGGTCTAGTAGTACACTTGAATTCATCCTATTTAGTTAAATGAAGGCTTGATTATACAAATGTGTACTCATCTTCATATTGTCCATGACTCACGTTTGGAGAAAATTTTGTTGCAATTTCTTAAAAATAGTGAGCCCATATTTATCTGCTAATTTTTTTCAATATTTTCTAATTGGTGATTTTTTGTGTTATACAATTTCTTCATGTATGGATAATTGTTTGTGGTTTTTTTTTTAAAATAAATAGTGTCTTCAGGCACGGGTAATTACTAGTGTATCTAATAAAATAAAGTTGAGTTTGAATTTTAGAGACAAAGAGAGGTCCAAATCATTTTGAAACAAAATATAAACACATCCAACAGACAACGTAATCTCAACATAAAAGACGGTTTAGATCATCGCAAAAATTTTGATCTAACGATCTATAGTGAGTATTAAATTTTGTTTTTCCATCAGATTGTTTCAAAATTATCGATCTAACTATCAAAAATTTTATCCCGCCTAAACGTTTTAATTTTGAAATCTCCCTCAATCACGTTATTTTCTTACGAATCCAAACTTTTCTCTATGTTTTCCTCACTATCCATCATTAACACCCCAAATCTCTCTCTCTCTCCCACACATTCTTTCTCTCTCTCTCTCACCCTTCAATCACGCCCAAACTCTTTCTCTTTCTCCCATTAACTGTCTCACCTCTCTCAATTTCTCATAAATTTTTGTCATCCTCCTCGGTCTCTCATCCCTCTCTGTGCAGACTCTGACGAAGAATAGACCTTCTTCAGCGACGCACGACATAATCTGGAGACCCACGGGACTAATCCACTCCAACCACCCACTCTCTTCCATCCAAATTATATTGGCGGTGACCTAATCTCCAGAAACACTCTCACTGGTAATCTCTTCATCTCTGGTAAGTGGGAATATGTGTATATATTAACACTAGTACAACTACCATGCAATTGAAACAAACGTTGAAAGTTTCATCAGTCTAACAGAAATCAATAAAATAATAAAAAATAGTGACAAAAAATACTACCACCCCATTTGGGTTCTGGCCAATCATAAAGTTATTTGTTTGATAGTGTAGCAACTTGGTTGATATAATAATAGGTGTGAAATTGTTGCATAGATATCGCCCACAGCCCAAGCGATGTAAGCCACCGCCTCTGCTCCTCTCCACCACCCCCATCCACCCACAATTGAATTATATTGATAGATTTTTAGTGATAACAATTCAAAATAATAGTCCAAGTAGATAAATCAAACAAAAAATGCACATCTTAAAATTGTCAACAATGGCTTTCCGTCGTCTGGAAAAGAAAGCTAGGAAGACGATCACAAATTTCATTTATACTCCCATAATTTTAGTGTATTTACATTTGTACCCCTTAATTTTTAGAAACATCGTTAATATCCCTTAAGTTTCAAAAATAATATTATAACCCCATAACTTTTCTGGAAATTCTTCTTCTTCATATAAGACATCTTTTACACATATATTAGAGCATGTGTGGGGTCTATATCTATAAGTAATGCTAGAATTACCAATTGCTTATAACCAATTCTTTTTCCTCTATTTTCTTTCTAACATAAATTGCATAAGTGGAGTTTAGCCTCATGTGAGGCTTCAATACTCAATTCCTATTGGTTGGAATTTTGGAGGTGTGTGCTTTATGGATGGATGATAAAGTGATTATGTGGGTAGTTATCAAATATTTTATGTTTAATTTTTATAATTGTGCAGTTAGTAAATGTTTAACATTTATGCGTGTTTATGAATATTGATATTTTTTTGTGTTGGTTTAGTAGTGTATCCTTTGCCAATAATTTATTGTTTTAAATTTTTAATGTTCGTGTGGTTTAGTTGTGGATGTATTGTCACTAACTGATTGTTGTTAAATGTTATATATTAAAAGTATACTGTTCGTACCTTGATTTAGGTTGGTTTTGTTTAATTTCTAATTTTACGATAAAATTTTACATAAAATTAAAAATATTTATATTAAACACACATAAAATACATAATACCTGTAAGTTTAGTGCTTCATTTTTCAAGGTTTGTCAGTTTAACGTTTGACTCCAATAACCGCATACACACCATCACTACAACACAAAAATCAGTATCCAAATGGACAATGTCACTATTTTTGGAGATGTAAATTATTTAGTATATCAATTTTTTCAAAACATTTGATATAATATTTTATTAAAAATTATTATATACGTACTATATAATTTTTCATCTTTTTTATTACAAACTGATTCAAACTGTAAGTTGATATTTTTATTTTTGGTACACTGTAAGTAGATTTTCTTATCACGCATCTTAGTACCAGTGGTTGATGTTTTATTCTTACTTCTTATCAATTAATGAAGTTTAAATTGTTTTTATAATCCATAAATAAAATCATCAAGTTATTATTCATACCAAAAATAAATCACAATTATATGAAAACTTATAATTCTTAAAAAATAAAAAATAAAAATTCAAAACCCAAGCTAATCAGCAATTAAAAAAAAAAAGTGATCAATACAAAAAAAAAAAAGATATCAATTGCACCAATAAAAATTGTTCAAAACCAATCTAATCGCTATGTGTTGAAATTATTCAAACAACCTATCGTTGTGTGTTAAAATTTTATAAGTAACATAGTCTCTTCATATATATATATATATATATATATATATATATATATAATAGTTATTACTTGTGTCTGAAGGCACAAAGTAATAAAAAAATGATAAACAATAAACATATTTGTATTCATATTCAAAATCAAATCACAAACATAGAGAAAAGATAAAAGAATTTAAGCATCGATTTATAGTGGTGGTGGACAGTAGTGGTGGTAGTAGGAGACAGTGATGATTGTGACGGGTGGCAATGATCGTTATGGTGGTGGTGCTGGAGGAGAAGGTGGGGGCAACGGTGGTGGTGATGGGGGAACAACGGCGGTGGGGGTGGTGGTGGCGACGGCGATGACGACGATGGTGGTGGTGGTGGGAGTGGTGAGCGTAGAAGTAGTGGTGAAGCGGTTTCAAACACTATTTTTTTTTTAAAAGTATTTATGAGAAATAATTTTTAGAAGTACTTTTAAAAGATCATTTCAAACACACCCTTAGGGACCTATTTTTCCGATTAAATTTAAGGTGTTAATATTAGTCGTTAGATTGACTTTAAAGTAAAATTTAAAGCGATTTCAACTGCGAATAGAAAAAATTATTTTGTTTATCTTTTGAGATTTGAATTATAAATTATTTTATTATATAGATATAAAAATTTAATGTTAGTCAAACTCCTAAAATTTAAGAGTTTATAATTTTTAGTTTTACTTCACTTTTAAAAGAAATGAATGGTCCCGTAAAATTAACAAAATATAAATTTCATAATAAATAAATTTTTTTGGCGGACTTAAAATCCAAACAAATCCATCGTACTGGCCTCTAATTTTTCCCTTTTTTTTTTTTTAATACTTTCGAGCCGCCCCTGATCATCTTCTGGTTCTTCTTCTCGAGATACAAATGTTATGTCGATTTCAGGCAAGTATGTTTATTCTTTTCCCTTTCAAATTTCCTTTCTGAATCATCCATTAATTCAATGCTGTTGGATTTGGTTATTATAGTGATTCTGAGTTCGAAACTTCTGAATAAGAACTAATTTAGGGCCTGTCAATTGAAATTGCACACACAAGCGCGCACACACACCCACATATATATATATGATCTAGTGAATTGTGATGTGTCATGCAAGATGACGCAAAGTTTTAGGACAAGCTGATCCTCCTAAGAACAGTGTTCATGGGTGAGCTGTTGCTTCACTTGGATTTCCAGTATAAAATGGTTCTACGTTTGTCAATTTCGATCAATCTGAGGTTCTGGTAATAAATTTTGACCTATTGATTATTGATTATAAAGCTCATTTGTCTTTACCAGGCTGAACGTAGGTGCAACCAAACAGTAAAATAATGCAGATATTTAGAGAAGAAAAACCATGCAGCAAGCACTCTTATATTATTGGGGAAAAACGAAAAACGAAACTGGAGGGTACAGAAACCTAGGGCGTGGCTTCAACAAACTCTCATGTCCCACCCTATATATTTTTTAGAGCTCATGCCGACACACTGTTGGGAATTCCCTTGCTAGTAAGTCCGCCAACTTTACTGGTATCGGATGTGTTAGGATAGAGCAAGGTGTAAGGCACTTTGACAGGCCCAACTCGGTTCTTCAATTTATTGTCCATGTTCCTATCCATTATTCTACCTTCGATTTCTACCAGATTTCTTCCAAATCGCTCAAATGCCTCTCGTGGTTGAGCCTCAGAAGTCCATTCGGGTGTTTCTCTCTGCCCAAGATAAATCTCATCTGAAGAATGCTGGGACAAAATCTCCATCATAGACACACCCAACAGTGTTTGGTTTTGGCTTGTGATTGTTTTCAGGAAGGCCTTTTCAGCTTTTGACTCAAGCTCAGCATACTCAGGAGTGCCTGGCTGCGGCATGAAACGGCGGCTTATGGTTGGGCGGTTCAGAATGTAGCCGGCATAAGCATATTGCCCGAAATTGACAGCTGCATGTAGAGCAGAAGCCACCCATATGATAATGTTGCAGGATAGGATGAGTTCAGCTCTTGTCTGCATCTTAGGCCACCATGGCTCTTTTTTCTTGTCACCATGGCCCACTTGGCGGAGCTCTGTCCACCATGATTGGAGTTCACAGTCATCTTGAATCATGTCATCTGTAGGGTAATAGAAAGAGCAGTACTCTGTGACCCAGGTTTCGATTGCAGACCATATTTCAAGCCCATCAACTGCATAGGGATAATCCTCGATTAGAAGTCTGAGCCCATGCGGCTGGCTTGAGTCTGGAACTGCGATTCCTCTGCAATAAAGCAAATTGGAAACAAATTCATTGTTAGGAAAGATCCAACATTGAGAACACCATTGTTTATGTGGAGCATGGGAAATAACCTTTTGAGCAGATCAGTAGGAAGGGCTTGGTCTGTGAAAACCCAGTTCTTATAAATAGCAGCAGACATTTCCATGGAATATTTAGCTGGAAAGTTTGTCTTCTCGAGCAGCCCACCTGCATTGATGAGGGCATGCCGAGCCAGCGCATTATTATTCATTGTATCACGGAAATGGGGATGAAGAAGTTTATATATTGGGTGAAGCACGCTTAATTGTCTGTTTGTTGCAATCACAAACGGCTCTATTACTGCATGGGTGTTCAACCTGCAACCGAAATTAGAGTCAGTAAAGTATGCATTAATTGTTAATTACAGCAAAGCTTCTAAAGATTTGCCTTGCTGTGAATTTTTCTGTTTTTAGTCCTTTAAACATACCAGTGGCTAATGAGCTGATGATAGCCAGAATCGTTGACAGCAGCATAAGCTTTGGCCAGCTGCCATACTGAACCTTCTACTCCATGCTCTGCTGGAGTGAAGACTTGGCTGGTGACTCCATATTTGACTCCTTGTGGATGTGGTAAGCTCAACTCAATTGCCAGTGGCTTCAATGTCCCATTGTTTTGGAGTAACAGGAGCGTTCGGCTGGCATAGGTCCTCGTGGTAGTCGAGTTAATATTTGTCAGGTAAGGCATCAGTGCATCATGATAATCTAATATGAAGAGCTTCTTATTCTCAAGTGCCTGTAATTGCACGAAATTTCAAAAAACGTTAAAATACATCACTCTCATACCTACATGTACAACACAAATAAAACATGTAATAGACTTGAAGTATCCTCTTCTTTTGTTTTCTCCCTTAATAATTAAGCGAGCAACACAATGAATAAGGAATATTTACTTCATCTACAGTTAGTCCATTCATGTTCTTCTCAATATGCTCCCTTTTGATTGTACTGGTTTGATTGCCATATTCTTCAGGGTTTAGCTTGCTAGCAGGTGGAAACTCCTGTTATGTCGAATATCAAGCAACATTCTCATCAGAAACCAGAATTCGTTTACAGGTAACTTATAGAATGAAAGTTATGTTTTAAGAATCCGTTTACATTTAACTTATAGAATGAAAGTTTTGTTTTACCTTGAGCCCACAGATGACGACAGGGTTTACTCCAGCGAGCATTTCCCGTCCAAATTCTTCATCCGTCCTCCAGGCAGACCTAACCTCTGCAGTTATGCAGTGAAACTTTACAATCTTTTTATATGAGTGATTAAGTGTATCATTAAAGGCTCTAAAGCTTCAAATTACCACAAAATAAAATATTTAAAACTCTAATTCATAAAAGCCAACTAGGATGGGGAATTTTTTTTACCTTTGATTACATCAGGCATGGGGAATTTGAATAGTGCCTCACCGTCATTACGAAGGAGTTCCTTGAGCATCTCCCATGGGATGCGTTCCCTGAGTTTGGTTAGTGTCTGCCAATTTGGTAACCTAATCCCACCTTCATAGAGCTTTAGTACCGCTTTGAAATTGTTAAACTCGGTAGGAGTTGTGTCAAATAAACTGATCTCTGAAGCCAATAACTGGCCTATAGCTTTGAGAACACAGGCAAACAAATCTGAAAACTTCACGTGATTGAACCGTTCATCCCGTGGAACATATATGCCTAGATTAGGAAGTGGCAATCTGCTTTCAGTGTGAGGATCTGCAAATACAATAGAAAAATGAAGTTGTTGATTTGAAAGTACTAAAAATTGTAGCCAACTAATATGACTAGTTGTCAATCATCAAATGCTTCTAAGTAATATATGGTTTTCTGCTTCGAACCTTTTTTTGTCGGTGCACGACCAGTTCTTCCTCTTCGGGGGTATGGGAACTCTTCCGATCCACCAAGCACAGGCCGTTCATATTTTTTGCCATTGTCCGGACTTCCCAAATCATTGTAGAGTGCATAGTCATAGACTCTGTCCCACTCCTTGAGCTTGCCCGTTCCGTTTCCACGAAGATTAATGAGTTCTTCTTCTCTATACTGGCGTAGTGGTTCTGGAGTGTTACATGGTAGGTAGGCCTGATAATAGAATCATGATAGAGTCAGTTAGTGTGCTTACTTTTCTTGTCTTAGTCCACACTATTAACAGCAAAACAGATCCTCTGAATTAATTTTGTCAGGTTCATTTCTGAAAAAAGTCACCAAGGATCTAAATTTAATTTCTCTCTCTCTCCCCTATATTCACAACCCATTGGAGAATAGAAATATACATATGAGTTTGCTTATTTTGTCGGTCATACATTATTTTAAGTAAATTCAAGTGAAAAAAATTACCTTGTTTGCAAAGAAGACACGATTGTATTTGTAACGATGTGCTGGGTAAACCCAAGAATTGCAAATGAAATGGATTTGACCATGTCCAGGAACGTCTTCTAGAGTTACTGTCTTAAGGTAGAACTGATTGTGATGGTAATTTTTTATAATGAAGGCACCAGGAACGCTCATGGATTCATCCCACTCAAAAAAAATGTTGAATGTAGCGTCTGCAGCCGACACAGATGTGAATGTTGAAATCCAGTTTTCCACGAATGCTGCTTTACCAAGCTTCGCTTTTAATCCTTTTGCTGCTAACATATGTGAAAATCAATAGTAAAGTTTGCCTTAATAGTTCTTAATTTCTTGTTTGGATCAACCCTGAAGAAATCTTTTCGTCTCCATTAGAAAATCACCATGATCAACCTCTCTTTCTCTCAATTTTACTCTTCATATGCATTTCAAGAAGTTCTTCAAGCATATTCTTAGATTCATATGTATAAACAGTAGAGATAGAGAAGGAACTGACCTGGGTCGCCATTAACGGCGCTGATGAGCTGAAGTGAGACACCTCTGCAAAAGATCTCGTACACCCGATCAAGAAACGAGGCACCCGCATCATTGAAGTCCAAAACATTCTTCTTCATCAACTTTATTGTCCCTTTGATTTTCACAACCTCACTCTTTTTATTTTCTTTGGGCTCATCTCGAGCCTTTCCACAAATCGTTTCTGGTGTTTTCCCTAACATCTCTGGAGTTCAACAGTTCCCCGTTTGATCAAGCCCTTATCAGAACAGATTGAAAGAAGGTATGAACCGGAATGTGCTTAGGAAGATGGGTATAAATTAGAGAAAACTTATTGGGTACAATGGGAATAATTGCCGTCTGCTGTACTAGTAGTAATGTTCATCTTCTTGACTTAGGAAGACTTTGGTGTTTTAAATAGCCACTTGACTTGACTTACTGTTGGTGTTTTAAATACATGGACAAACGAAACATTGTGTATGAAGTGTGGTGTCCGGAGAGTTCGTTTGTGTGTGTGTGTGTGTGAGGTGGGGGGGGGGGGGGGGTATGAAGTTTCAGTTTTTGTTTTGCTAGAAAAACAAATATAATATAATAAAAGTAGTTGATTCCACCTTGGCCATTCCATTTGGCTTTTTACCAAACATATTTTAAAGGATTGTTGTGTGTGAATACATATACATACATAATATATATATTTGTGTGTGTAATCTGTCAGTTCATCCATACTGTTTCCTTGAAAGGTTGGATTGAACTTTGAGTCAACCTTGGTTAGTTGCCATGTTCTGAGTATGAGGGGTCTCTCTCTCTCTCACCCAAAAGGTAGTTGTAATAGTTACCTGTTGGGTTGAAGCTAACCCAAAAAAAAAAAGCAAGAAAATCCATTTCGGATAAGCTACAAAAATGAAAAGCGAAAGAATGGTATAATTCATTGAAAGCAACAAATTGAGAGGCAATTAATACTTAGACTGCACCAGATAACCAAAATGTAGCTGTATTCTAATTTGAAGTCTGGAGAGATGTAGCCTTTGGATTATTATTTGGCAAAGTGAAATTGGAAAAGTGAAAGGTACTGATCCACCTAGTCACTCTGAAAATCTCTCTCTCTCTCTCTCTCTCTCTCTCTCTCTCTCTCTCTCTCTCTCTGACGAATTAGAATTTATTATTCTTTATTTTGCAGTTGTCCATGGTATTCGATTGATTTGAGTTCTATCGTTTCCTCCTCTAACTTAACTAATCCACCAGCGAGAGTAAGCAATTCACTAAGTAGTGTCTAAAATATTAGCAAGATCAGTTGCTCTATTGAAAGGCTTTTAGCTGTTTAGCCGGGATTAGAAAAATGCTTAATTGCTCTTATTGCAAAAAATCCTTTGATAACACAAATTCTTATTTCTCAATGATATTCTTTGATCAAGATAATTAGTTGAATCCTATGAAACTATTTCATAGAAGTTCATTAGTATCTTCTTTTTATAAAACAAATCAACCTCGATTCTTGAATAATAATTCACATTACTTCTGCTTCTATTGTAGACTCTAGCACGTTACCTCCCCCAACTGCTTCACCATTCCGTATTCAAAGGTACTCTCTCCCCATGTTGTCCCGACTCCTTTCTGTCCTGTGGTTGTCCAGGCTGTGGTGCCGATGTGTAGGCATTAGACTTGGTAGGGTAGGGTACGGTAGTGGTGGAGGAGGAGGGAACAGTGGCGGATGTTGGTGGTGTGTTCATTGATGTGTGAGAGAGAAGCATAAGTAATGTATAAGTTTGGTATTTCAATTTCGGTAATGGGTGATATGCTACTTGCTCTATTCTCATTGTCGTCGGTGGGGGGACAAACACTGGAAGTATCAATGTATTCTAGAAGCTGTATAGCTATAACTTTAAATTATCAAAAATCATAGGGAGACAGTATTACATTTTCAATTATTTAATTAGTAGACCATGTTTGGTTCCTCACATGCTTATTAACCTACCTAGGATATTTTTTTTTTCAATTCAATAGTCAAAGGTGTCTGTCTAAGTTAGTTTATGGGATCAAAGGTAAACCATTCACATCAAGATTAGGGTGTTCATTAAAGATAAATCTTCATAGTCAAGGGTTACTAATATTCAAACTCAATACGTCTGTATTTACAGTTCATCTATGTTATTATTTAAACTATCTTTTTTGAGTCTATATTTAATGCCGAATCCAATGTTATCGTGAAATACAATAAAGCTTTAACGGCCGAAAAGCATGGGTGCCCCCACGTGCTATTAAAATAGCACTGTAACACATGGATTGACATCCTAAATAAAGAGGATATGCCCATGAAGTAGATAATGGGGGAATGAAGTAGATAATGGGGGAATATACGAGAAAGTTAGGTAAGCATTTAATTTCTCAAGTCATCGGTAGTGAAATAAAGGGCGAAACGATAGTTCAAGCCTTGTTGTCCACATAAAATCCAATTTATCCGACTTGCATTGTCCGCACATTTGTGGGTGTTTGGTGGTCATGAGTCTAAAGATTGTATAATTGAGACACTTAGATAAAGGCCTTGTTTTTTGTTATTGTGAATCTGAATGCTGAAGAAGTTCTGTTGATAGACATATGTTTGACGTTTTATATGGTTTGATGAAGTTGTGCAGACTGGCCTCTAGAAGTAGTGGTAACTTGTAAGGTTCTTGTTTGTCTAAGTTGGAGATACACTTTTTTGGGTAAAGTGACAGAATTACGAAAGATGGATATGTTTATGTCAGAATTCTTAAAAATGATCCTTTAAAATGATATGAATTTTTATTTATTTTTGTATTAGGAGTACAAGTGTTCGAGTCAATTTACGTATACTTAGACTAAGCTCTTTCCTTGTTCAAACTAAGCTAGACCATCTACACTGAGTTTATGAACTTCACAAGAGATAAATTCTTCAAGGTCTTACCTTAAAGGGAGTTGTTAAGTTTCAAACTTAAGATGTCTGAATTTATAACTTATCTCTATTTCCACTCGACTTTCTAGAAGCACTAAGATTTTGAAAAAAAAAAAACATATCTCACTAGATAAATTCATATGCATAATTGATTGGAATATGATGGCTACAATGTATGGAGATTATTATATGCAAGTTGATGTAAAGATAATTCTAATTTAACAACTGACATGGTCTGAACTTTTATTTTTTTAAGGTCTCTTAAAATGTGAGCCAACTATCGATCATTCAAAACCCCCAACCACAATCATAGTCGGCAAGTTGGACTTGGATTTAGACCTGGACTTGGACAAGGACAAGGTTAATCCAGACAAATACAATAAACCAACTTGCAAGGTTTCTAAATTGTTTATCCCATGGTCACATGGATGTGCAAACTGTCAATCAATACGATTATCACCACAAGTTATTACGGTCCATAATTGAGTTGACTCTGATAAGTTTGATTTTTTAAATAAATTTAAAAAATTATTCAAGTTCGACTCATTTAAAATATAAACTAAGTCTAAAACAAGTCAAACCCTCATAGCTTGACTATTTTATATATAAACGAATCAAGCCCGAATATCTCGACTATTTTACATATAAATAAGTCTAATTTTGCAAGCTCGAGGTGAGCCTTTTTAGGCTTTTTTATAAATTTTTTTTATAAATGAGTCTAAAAAATTATTTAAATTTAACTTACTTAAAACACGAGGCGAACCTGAATCGAGCCTCAATTATCAGGCCTACGGGTTATTGAGTTAAATGGTATTACCTGACTTTTTCACAATTACGACAAGCCTGTCCGAGTGTCTTTCTTATGCCTCTTCTATTGATCGGATCTACTATTATTCAACTAAAGCAATAGTCTTAGACCTTATTCACAAAGATGTCATATCTTTGTAAATTGTAACATTTCTCAGATCAAATGTCTAAACCCGACAAAAAATCTTGACCTCACAAAGACTTCCTTACAAGAATATAAACCTAGTAATAATAAGAATAAATAAATAAATAAAAAAGGCCTAGGCGAAAATGATTGTTTAAAAATTATTTTCCCTGAAGAGTTTCAAAAAATCAAACTTGAGAAAGTATTACGTAGTGGGAACAAAATGAAAATTATTATATAGATTAGTCAAGCATGTCAGCTTTGAGTCAAATTTTCAACCATTGAATACTTTTGGTTGTTAGACTTTGTCTTATATGTGGATTTTAATTTTTTATTTGTTCTAATTATTATTATAGTTGTTATTGGCTCAATATCATTATCATATATTACTGTTACTGTCTATTTTATAATATAGTTATTTATGTCATTAAAAAATATATATACATTCAATTCACCCACACAGACGTTGTTACTGTGATCATGATATTGTTATTATTACTGTCTTGTTGTTATTGTTTTGTTACTGTCCATTTTGTAATATAGTTACTAATGTGATAAATTAATCTTTAAACTTTTAATTGTCTTTTAAATCTCAAAAAGAATGCAGATATCCTTATTAACCCAAAGAACACACATTTCTATATCAATAAAAAATGGGAAAATTATAAGAAGGTATACGAAATTAGAGTTATTTGTCACCTTATGTATACAAAATTAGAGTTATAAGGAGGTAACGTATTTGTCCTCCTTTAAATCATGCTATTTCTTTTGGCAGTTAATTAAATTTTTGATTTTGTTTTACAAAAGATTTGCATATAACATGAATAGATACGATACGAACCCGACATACCATAACTAGATCCAGATCCCCTCCAATAAATTTTTTTTTTTTTTAATTTCTTTATTGGCAGATCATCCATCATCAGTTAGTGACAGGTTTACTTATATGCAACATGTCCCACTTAAAATGTATGGTAAGTGATCCACCAAAAAAAAAAAAATTTTTAAAAATATATTTGAAAATATCTCACTCTCCAATCTCCATAACTCATTGTTAGTGTCTATGAGTGAGAAATCACAAAGAAGTTGGGCCAAAATCTGTCAAAACTGAAATTGGTCTGCTGTTATGCCTGTGTATGGGCTTCAGATTGACTTTGGGCCGCATTGAGCCATAATGGTTTTGCCAAATCCTACACATGAGCTCACTAGGTATTTGCTTCAGATCAATCACATGCCCGAGGATCAAAATTTTATTTTGAAAAGTCAAAAGTTTTTGTTTTTAAGAAAATCAAAATGAATTAAATATTTAATTGAAATTTTAATATTTAAACATTTTTTGGAATATTTTAAAGTGTTTCAGATTTTTTCGAGATATATTGGCATATTTCTATTAAAGAAAAATTTTAATCATACATTTTCTAGTTTGTTATATTTTCAAGAACACTTTTTTACTTATAAAAAAATCATTGGCCTTCTTTCTAATTTATATTTATTTAAGCATCATTGACACCTCCTTCCATTAAATCACCATTTCTAATAAAAAAAATTCATCTAAAATATCAAAAAATTCTCTTACATAAATCCCAAACAATTTTTGTACATAAAATTCGATTTGAGATGATTAAATTTTATTTTTTTTTATGTATTAAAATTTGAGTCTATTAAAAAAATTTTTTATATATTAAAATTCAAACTGATTTGAGCTCTATCCAAGTTATTAGCGCCGATTAAAATTCACTTTAAACTAATTAAAATTTATATTTTTTTACTTATTAAAATTTGTGTCAATTAAAATTTGATTACAAATGAGTATTTGGTCTAATGGTACTCTTTGTCTTGTAAAGGCTTTGTTTTCTGAAAATCAAAAGTTCAAGTCCCCCTCCCCCTCCCAAAAAAAAATTATTTAAAAAAATTTGGCAAATTAAAATTCAATACAAGTTAATTAAAATTTGATTTAAGGTTATTAAAAATTATTTTCAATCGGCTCAAATAAAAATTTAACTGGCTCATATTTTAATACGTAAAAAATATAATTTTTAATCGACTCAAGTTTTAATACGTAAAAAATAAATTTTAATAAGTTCGAATCGAATTTTAATCAGTTTCAATTTTAATACAAAAAAAAATTTGAGAAAATAGAGGGGGTTTCATTGAAAATATACTTATTTAGAAAGAGTCTCATTGAATATATGTTTATTTAGAGGGGATATGAATGAAATTTGTCTTTAAATATATTATGGACAATTTAATAAAATTACATTATAACTAACATTTTAAGCTGACAGGATGTGTTAGTGAAGATTCACAAAATAGAAGGAATGTCCTTGAATATATGGTAAACTAGAAGGGTGTGTGGTTGAAATTTTTCTTTGTATTAATGTTTTAGATTGTTTTATTATATTTTGACCAAAATTTTAGAATTTTTTTGAAATAAATTCTCAAATTTTTTATTATTTTTTTAAAACGTTTTTGTTTTCTAGGTGATCAAAACAATGTAACAGCACAAAAATTTGATGTTTATATATGGCTCCCCCACCCCCAAAAAAAAAAAAGGATAACATATTTTTGAGCAGAAGTGTCAATCGTGTTGTGTGTGACCCACATGTCATGTTATTCGTATCATGTTATTGTTATTTGTGTCAAGTTTATGTCAAGACTCACGAAAAAAAAATCTATTTTATAGTGTTCTGAGTAATAAATATTAGTCTAAACTATTTATTATGCGTATTAATTTTATAATCGATCGTATCAACGTGTTAGAATTAACACGGTACTTTTGAGCACTGTAGCTTCTTATATTCGTCAACGACGACTATGCAGTGTAATAGAATCAAACAAGTATGATCAAAGGGAGAACCATGTTGGTCAGTAATGCAATTTATACAACTAGAGATTTGAATATCAATGTTACTTGGAATCATCCTAGTAGAGCCTATTTGATCGTCACAGAGGATATTACCTTACATTATTCTCCAATAGTTTAGAGGGTTGGTCTTAGAGCAATAGTAAGATTGTTTTGTTTGTGATTTGAAAATCACGGATTTGAATTGTGTACATCTAACTCTCTTTAGACCTTGTAATGATGAAAGTCTCGTGTATTGTGTTTTTTTTTTTTTTTTCAAATAGTTAATTTTAGACGACGGAAATTTGACATAAAAAATTTATTTTATCTCCATTTTGTTGACAAGACATAATTTACCCCTTAAAAAAATATATATGTGCACACTGAAAATTTTGCATATTTCAGATAGACCCATATGATTTTAATCTCTAATTTTTTATTTTTTTTTTCAGAATTTTAATCTCTAATAATAATGATTTTTCATTATTTTGTGGAAACAGCTGTATAATATTCTGCCATGGCATAGAATATACGTTCTGTCGTTACGGCAGCCAAATTTGAAGATTTTTTAATGCATCTTTTCTGCTACCTTTCTTTTGGTAAATATGTCTGTTTTTTCACTTGACTTGCACGTTGACCTGTATTTAAGATGAGGACAGAACTACAATAGTGGTACCGTACCAAAATTTATTATGACCATTGATTTGTTATTGACCGTTGATCTTAAAAACAATAAAGTGAAAAAAAAAATAAAATTATACACACGTCAAATTCTGATTGGTAGAAAATAGAAGAGACTATGATTGAACTTTTAAATCATCAATTTTGATAAAGTAGTGGACCCAAAAATAAGATTAATAAAATGAATTGGATATAAATAAAATCAATTAAAAAAAATATATGATACAATTATTTTATATATCAATTGAACGGATCGATAAATTTTGATCATTATTTGACATTTAGATTTAGACACGTGGCAAGTTGCAAGTACTGAAAAAATGTTATTTAGAATGACTCTACTATGGGCGAACAGATAGCTAGGCTATCCGGGCCGAGCTAAATTAAGTCTGATCTAGTAGAGGATAAAACTCGACTGACCAGACAACTAAGTTGTCTCAGCCGAGCAGAGGATGAGATCTAACCAAGTTGTTATCAAATAGCAACCGAGTAGATCAAAAAATTCAAAAAGGAAGGAATGAGTTCGGTCTTCGTCACGACCAAGTTGTTTAAAAAAGTAATGTGGTGCTAAAAACATGCCTACAATTTAGGCATTCTGGTTAAACGAATAGGCTCAGTAGAAGGAATTGTAGGAAAGATTTTAGCAACTTCCTGAAAAGAATCACCTGATTAGGAGAAGGTGTGCCACCTTGAATCGAAATTCATGGAAACCTTAACTGAACAAGGTCTATAAAAAGCAAAATGAGCTAATATGAAAGGTACATTAAACTCTTATAGTTTTCTTGTAATTATCTCAATTCTATTACTGACTTAAGTATCGGAGTGCCTTCAATCGAAGTACTTCGATCTTGGACAGTTTGTTCATTTTGCAAGAAGTAAAGACTGAAAGATCAAGTTCAAAATTTACTCTTATCAGAAACGTTCAATCTTTATTCTTGTGAGAGGTATCTTTAATTTTTACTCCTTACATCAATTATACACGATTCGTAATACGAATTCAATATGATATGATTTATGAGCCATGAATTAAAAAACGAATCGAATATAAATTAAATATTATTTTATTGGCATCTATCAATTCCACAAAATATGAGATATTCCATATGTATACTGACCACACTACCCCAACCCCCCACGTATGAGATATTCTATGGCATCATAATTCATTCCCACATATGCCTGCCTATCTTTAGATAAAGGGTTTTTCGCACTTATACCTTAAAGGATTTTAAGTTTTTTGGTTTGTACCTTTATTAAAAATATTATAATATGACCTTTCTGTTAATTTTTGTTATTTTTTTTGTCAAAAGTCGATTTATTGACATTGAAGAAAAAACTAACAAAAAGCTAACAGAGTGGACATATTGCAACGCTTTTGATATATTGTGGGTATAATATAAAAAAAATAATCTTTGATGGTACAAAATAAAAAATTTAAAATTTTTCTAGATTCAAATTATAATTTGCCCTTAAACAAATTTTAGTATAGCTGAAATTTATAATTGAACTTTCTATTTTGCATTATGTATTATTTTTTTTCTCATATTTGTTGGTTGATTCCATATATTAACCACTTACTTATCCTATTTAAACAAAGTTGTTTTTTGAGTAAAAATCATAATTGGTCCTTAAATTTTATTTTTGATTTTAATTTGATCTGTGCATGTCAATTATTTTAATTTGGTCTCTCAACTATCAATTTCGTTTCAATTTAGTCATTCTATCAATTTTCATCATTAGACTAACCAAGATCAATACAATCTAATTCATTTCAATGTTAAACTAATGGTGAAAATAAACGCAATGACTTAATTGAGACAAATCGATAATTGAGAGATTAAATTTGGACTCATCATGGTACATTGGATAAAGTTTTATATTGGTTGTCAACTACCTAATACAAGCCTCCTCTTTTTTCTTTTGACTTGGAATAGGCAACGGTGGATACAATATTAACGGAGTTAATTGAGAGATTAAATTAAAACAATTAAAAGTTTAGAGAATAAATTAAAATCAAAATTAAATTTTCGAGACCAACTATAACTTTTACTCTTAAATTTTTAGGAAAAACTATATTCACACCCTCTAAAATTTGTCACTTAATCACTCAGACCCCTAACATTTAAAATATTACATATAGACTTTCTGAGGTTTGTATATGCGTAACACTTAGATCTCTATAGTAAATATATCAATAAAATACACTTAGACTCCCCTAAAGTTTGTGAGTATATAATACTTGGACCCTTTAAGTTTAAAATATTATATTTAAACAAAAAATACTCCAATCAAATATAAAATATAAAATATTTTAAATTTTAAATTTTATTATATCATTTATTGAAATAAAATTAAAATTAAAAATTTAATTTTTTAAAAAAAAATCGTGATTAGTATATAATTATACAATCTATTGGAATAAAACTAAAAAATTAAACAAAGAATCAAACTGTAATAGACACAATATCTTTTAGATTTAATTGAGATAATTTGGTAATTTAATTTGGTCCTTTAGCGATTAAATTAAATTCTAATAGACAATATAATTGTATACTAATTACAATTTTTTTTAAAAAAATAAATTTTTATTTTTGATTTTATTTCAATAAATGAGACAATAGAACATGAATTTTGATTGTAAAATTTAAAATATTTTATATTTTATATTTGATTGAAGTATTTTTGATATAAATATTATATTTTAAACTTTAAAGGGTTTAAGTATTATATATTCACATACTTTAGGAAATTTAAGTGTAATTTATTAACGAATATATTTATAATAGAGGTCTAAGTGTTATGTGCGTATAAACTTTAGAAAATTTATGTATAATATTTTAAATGTTAGGAATCTCAATGATTAAATAATAAATTTTAAAAGGTCTAAGTGTAATTGTCACTAATTTTAATTGTCTGAACCACTAATTTGGGAATATTTTCTCCTAATAAGAGAGAGGGAGAAGTGGGGCGATAAAAGCTCGAACAGCGGATCAACTTCATTTACACGCAAACAGACGTGGTGTTCGCATTCGATTCCAACTCAAGTTAGATCTCCGGGACGACAATCTGGATCTCATCTTCTCTCCTCTCGATGTGCCTTTAATATATCATTTACTATTTCAAATCCAATATTAGTATCAGTGTTTTCACGAAATTGTGAACATAACAATATATAAATATACATGGGAGGTGAGAGAGCATAACAATGAGATTAAAGAAGAAAGCTACTGTTCATAAATCTTCTGCTTCTTCTTGTTCAGATACAACTGTTTCGTCGATTTCAGGCAAGTTTGTTTTTTTTTTTTTTTTGAATTGTGCATTTTCATTATAGATTAAGTTATTCTGGATCTGGAATTTGCAGCGAATCTGAGTTTGACAATAAAGTATGAGTAGTAATTTAGGGCTTGTCAATTGACACACACAAGAGCTAACGCTTGAGTTCGCATGTTTGTTTATATTTGTTCCTTCTTTGTTGCATTGGAAAGTGATGGGGAGAATTTTGGATGAGGTTGGTCATAATTGGGTTTCCCTATATTGCTAAATTTATGCATAAATGCTTCCACTTTATAGTTTTAAACTATTCTCTGATGGGATAGATTAGGATTTGCATCACTTGGTTTTGGGCTGCCCCTCCCTTCGTGGGTCTCACTTGGGGCAGGGCAGATACAATCTGTTCAACTCAGCAAAATGCCCTTATGGGTCTCAGTTGAACTGATTGTAAACTAAATAACTAGTTTACCTACATCACTCAGACATAATCAATTCAACCCCCTTTGGCTCCTGGATTCACAGGTATTCACAAAGTTTATTTTTGTTGTGGTGGGTGCTGCTTACTAGCAATCCTCCTTGTTTTTGTTTACCTAGGAACCAGGAGATGCTTTACCACTGATTCTTCTAATTTATGTGTACTTTGTTGAGGCTTGGCATTTTGGTCCGACTCCTTTGCTTATCTTGCATGCACCTTTGACAAGTTTTCATGCTTTTTCTTTTTGGAAAGTGCATTATGTCTTCTATATTTTAGAACAGTAGGTGAGATGTGCAATCGAACAATAATTCTAATGTGTTCCCATGGTGAGCAGAAATTACAGGGTGGGGCTAAATTGTTGGCAAGATCAAATACTTGTATAGGTGGAGACCCATCAATTGTAAACTCATTCTATCTGACTCAGAAGGAGCCAAAGCTTGTGAGTTGTGGCGTAGTTGCCCTCCACAACACACACTTAAGTTAGGTAGAGAAGCCAGCTTGAACCATTTCTACATGAATACCACATGGTGATTTTTTGGAAATGTAATAAAAAGTAAACTTATGATATAGGAGGAATGAAGAAAAGCCAAGTCTTGGTGTGTGGGTACTGTTTCTCAGTCATTACACGACATGTAAAGTAAGAGTGATTCTCAAATCATTTATTGGTATTTGGATACGGTTTACGAAGGCTCTTGGGTGGCTAGCTTTGTTTTATTGGGTTTTGTAGTGGATGCTCAAAAATTATTGCATAACCCTTTTCTAAAAAGTGAGAGAAACTGAGGATTATTTAGCAGATATTATCAATGACCATTGCAGTCAGCCATCATAGGTGTTCTACGCTAAGTGTTCTTAGAATTGTTTCAATATAAGATTAACTTATCAATGCTCAACAATGCTCTACTAACTCTTAATATATCCATTTACTTGATAAACTGGAGGAGTTTCAAAATTACTTATCTATATATTGCATGACACCTATTCATACAGCCCTGGCCATGTCATGTGAATAGATATTTGTGGGCATTTCTAGCCGTTTTATTACAGTTTTGAAGTAGAAAATTGTGAAGTTCATTTCTTTGTATGGTAAATAACTATGGTTTGCTACAGGCTTCCTACTTGGACTGTGTATCATCAGTCTTGGATGTTGAATTTTGTTTGCATTCACCATCATTGTTCCTCAAGGAAAATGGCTACTCTGGAGATATCCTTCTTTTTTCTCATACAAGCACTATTAGCTTCCATAGAGACATTAATATAATCGAATATGCATTCTGTAATGGCAAAGTTGCAATTTATCTTCAACATTGTAGTTGTATCAGGTCATCTTCCTTTACTGACTGACCAAAAGAAAAATAAGAAAAGGATGCTGTAAGGTCTCCGGTGCTTGAAGTAAAGAGTTTTTAAAATCACATTACATTCCTTGGTCTGATTAAATTGCTTATCTTTTGCAGGACTTCATGCAAAGCATCAACAAGAACTAGAAAATCTGACTCTGACAACACAACCTTTTAAAACATTAAAGCTTTTTACTTTGGCTGTTATTCAATACGTTAAGCAGTCTGTACTATATCTGTTGGCACATGGTGGTTGGCTTATGCTTCTGAGTGCCATCGTGGTGCTAATTGGGATACTGCTAGTGATCATTGATGGTCCTCATGAAAAGGTAGCTTCTGTTGATTATCATAGCATCTTTTTATTTGGTGACCTTTTTGTTCTTGTGGATGAACATCTGCACGTGTAGTTGTGGAGTAAGAGCTCTAAAGTCTTGTGATGATTCTTAAGGGCAGCCTCTTATTGATATCATGACACTTTATCATTTTCTGCGACCTGTATCTCAAAATGGTTTTGACGGCCCTGTAGACTCATGTTGCCTAATAATTTAAGCTCAAAGCAACTTTGCATCCCTGATGAAGTGATTTCACCAGGAACATTTAGTATGACGTATTGACAGTGAAGCATACTCTTCTGACATATTTGGAATAGATATAAAAGATGTACGTTGATCAATGTTGAATAATGGATGCTAGCCATTCTCATTTTTTTACGCAGCATCTTGAAGAAGTCCTGCAATATTTACGGTTTGGCTTGTGGTGGGTGGCCCTTGGTGTTGCATCTTCCATTGGTCTTGGTAAGCAAACAATTACTGTACTTTAACTTTATGAATGTGAATGCCTAGACAAGTATTCTTGATGATAAGTTGATTCTATTTTTAGGTTGTTTGCTCTAGGATATTGATAATTTCTTTCCAAAATGTATGCATACTTTTATCGTAGATTTAGATTTTGGCTTGGTGAAGGTTGACTTGATAAACTCGCTTGAGGTCACATTAGGGCACCAATCAAGGAGACAGAAGGAGGAGAAGGAAGGGAAGTTGGAAGGGTGAGGGAGAACAAAAATATGTTTCAGACTCAGTTTCCTTATTTGGCGTGAACCAAAATCTGATATTCGAATCGGGTTGTACACAATTTAGATTCATTGGCATGTGGTATGATTTTTCTTTTCCTTTTTTGGGTTGTTGAGTTCTTGGTTAGGAAGCACGAATACTCGTCTGGGCGTCGACGTGGTGGTGTCAGACACTTGTCTGACACGGATACGCGTGGGACACGACCGGACACGCGTCCGATACTTTCACAAGTGTCCTGAACAGTGAAGAAGTATTTGTTATAGATGGTTGCGGCTCGGATATGGGGGTAATACAAAAGGATACGACTACAACCATGGATTTAAAACCAAAAAAAAAAGGGGGGGAAGGGGAAGAAGACGATGTACCTGATCAGCCATAGCCACAGATCTCCTCTTCTTCGAGTAGGTATGTCGTCTTCATCTTCAGGTCTCTCTTCGACCACACTCTCTCTCTCACGCTGCCTGAGTTCTCTGCGATTTCATCTTCCAGACTCCAGCGGCTTAGCCCAGTTGCTGAAAAGTAATAAAGGATTAATTTTTTTTTGCTCGTCTTAATTTACATTTCATCCCCTATTATTTTATTTTATTTTATTTTTCTTTGCCCTGGTTGCTAAAATAATTTACAAATAACCCTTGGACTTCTTATATTTTATGTTAAATTACAATCATACCTTATTAGTTGTCACCCACTACCCAATTTGGTTTTGTCTACTGTCCTTAACATATTAGCCCACTAATCAAATTTAATATTAGCTCATTTGTCAAATTATTAAATATTAATTAATTACTCAAATTTATTTTTAATATTATTATACATATAAAAATATATTATATTATTTTAATTAGTCGTATCTTTACCGTACCCGTGTCCTATATTCTGGAATTTTGTCGTATTCCCGTGTCTGTATTGTATCAAATACGACACCCGTGTCCATATCCGTACTTCCTAGCTTGTTGGGCAGTTGGGGGTAGGGGATTGAAGAGATTAGCGTATGCATGTTTCTTTCAATGGGATTTAGGTAATTAAAAAGCTTCATGTGAATGTCTACTTAATCTGTCTACTATTTCTACTCATAAACTCAATTCAACTCAACCAAGTTTTAATCCCAACTTTTTGGGATGAACTGCATTGATCGGGTTTCTACCCATAATTTGAAGTGAAATTTATCGGTGTAAGTTTGAACTAAACAAGGATGTTGGTACCTGTGAAAAATATGTGAACTGCATGAAATGGTGACAGCTATATTTCTTGGTATGACCACAGTTTTCAAGAAGTGTGAACTTGACTGCATGAAATATCTTTCTGAATGCATTTCTACATGATATAGACTGTGTGTGTGTGTGTGCGGGAAGGGGAGAGAGAGAGAGAGAGAGTTAATGTCAATGTGCCTGTGGACCTTCCATGTCAAGTTTTCTTTCTGCTCTTTGTATCCCTAATAAAAGGAAATTTCAGGTTCTTTTGTTCTTATTCATTTCCTGCGCTTTTTAAACCTATTAGCTGCTGAATTTTTTATGATGTTATCTAGGCTCTTATTAGTTCTTTACTAGGAAAATCTCTGAAGTAAACCAACTGTTGAAGAAGTGCCATCATATTTGATTTATTTCATGTTTCGACACTTGTTTGTAATAAATGATTCTGCTGACATCTCCATCTATTTGCCTTGAAGTTAATGGTAAACTTATCATTGAGGAAACTATATTTGTCTTCCATTGTATTCCTGTGTGCAGGATCTGGTTTGCACACTTTCGTCCTTTATCTGGGCCCTCATATTACCCTATTCACGATAAAGGCGATACAGTGTGGCCGAGTCGATATTAAAAGTGCTCCATATGATACAATACAATTAAAAAGAGGCCCTTCATGGCTGGACAAGAATTGCTCAGAGTTTGGGCCCCCAGTGTTCTCTTCCTTATCTGGCGCACGGGTTCCTTTGAGCAGCATATTACCTCAGATCCAGTTGGAGGCTATTCTGTGGGGCATTGGAACTGCACTGGGAGAGCTTCCTCCATATTTTATTTCAAGAGCAGGTATGAGGCTACTTAGATATCTAAATAGTGTGAAGGTGGCTAGGATTGTCTAACAAACTATTTTGTCCTTCTTGAGGATTGTACTGGATGCACACTTAGTAATCCTGAAAATTTCAGTTTCTGGAATCATTTAAAATCATAAAGATGATTTTAATTTTGGGAGCCTTGACACACATTAAATTCTATGGGTTATTTTTTTAAAATACTCCGGTTAGTGATATGGTGAAGCTATAATACCTCATTTTGTGGGGTTTGAAGTTTCAAAGATGCAATTCAGAGGGTTATGGTTGCTCTATGATGGGGTAAAAAGAAATGGAAAACTTACAAGTGAAAATAGTAGAGTTAAGCCAGATTTTCAGAACCATCCTTGGCTGTTGGTGCGGGCCATTGGTTCAAGCATGCTTTCGGAAAATATGGTGCCTTGCAGAGGTCTTCTAACCTCCCCGGGGGGTCACCAGGCCAGCATGTTTCTCTTCCACACCTCCGGAGGAGAAGCTGTCAGGGGATGTGGAAGTTTTGATATTACTGTTCATATAAACTGATGTTTCTGATTTGTGGTAGGTCCTGAACAGTTCAACTTCAGATTCCGACTCATTAATTGTGGTTATTCCCTATGTAACAAGTATTTTTATGGCCCACATGTAGTGATGCTCATAAATGTGACCTTGATGAAAGTTCCCATCTTTAGATGTTTGCTATGCGTATCTTTTGTGACTGGAAGTCAATCTCATGTCTATTATTCTGCGATATGTGTCGAATCATGATATCATGAAGTACTGGCAAGGTTATGGCTTGGATATGCACAGTTGAGTCATTACTGCACCATTTTGATGTGCACATGCAATTCTATTCGTTAGTGTTTTTGTGCCAGAGTAATGCCATAAATAGTATTACTTAGCCTGGACTGAATGCATTTTATGTTTTTGCTGAGGCAGCTTCTTAGCATTAGGTGGTAATGGTACTGTGCAGGACGCATTAGCTTAAGTATTGTAACTACATGTTTTGACTGGTCAAGGACCATTATTATATAACTGACTTGGCACCAAACTGCATCTTATGCAGCAAGTTTGTCAGATAGCAAATTTGATGCCATGGAAGAATTGGATGATTCCTCGACTGAAGGTCATGGAGTCATAGCTACTCGCCTAAATCAAATGAAGCGCTGGTTCCTATTACATTCACAGTACTTGAACTTCTTTACTATTTTGGTGCTTGCTTCAGTAAGTTTTGATTCTCCACTCATTTTGTAATTTCATCTCCTTCAGAGTCGATATTGTTTGCTTCTGTCAACTGGTATTTCAGCATATGACCACCCTCACCTTTGAGTTGCTCACTAATGTATATTTTTAGCATTGTATAGTTTCTTTGTTAATCCTATTACCCCTCTGCCGGGTGGGGGGAAGAGATGAAGGGGTGGGGGATTATAGAGCCCTAATCTCCTCTTCTCTGTTACTTCATAATTAAGTTATATACTCTGTTGGTGAACCGTTAAGTGTTCTATTTTTTAGGTGCCAAATCCTTTATTTGATCTTGCTGGCATAATGTGTGGACAATTCGGGATCCCTTTTTGGAAGTTTTTTCTTGCAACAACGATTGGAAAGGCAATCATTAAAACTCACATACAGGTTTGTGAAGGCCATATGCCCATATTCTTTTGATCATGGTTGGAGTTTTCACAGAGTATTGGTGCCATTACCCTTGATGCTGCTGATTCTTTCTTTGGGATTTATTTAGCTTTCGCTATTTAACTCGCTGCATGGTGTTGCTGAGTATGTTGTTTATTGTAGCAAAAATGTGGGGAAGTGGCATTCACACTCTATATTTCACCTGAGGCACTCCACTGTGTGTCCTTGAAAACTAACAGATGTAGAGTACCTCAGATGATTTGAGGAGTGCAGAAAACAGACCCTAAAATAAATCATATTCCTTCAATACACGGTCTTTGGCTGGATTTGTGGAGCTATAAATCTGGTCACTTTCATAAAATCTTCGTGTTGGTTTCTGATTTGGAATTTCATTGATAACTCTTCTGCAGACGGTGTTCATTATTTCAGTGTGCAATAATCAACTTCTTGACTGGATAGAAAATGAGTTGATTTGGGTGCTTAGTCTTATACCTGGTTTTGATTCTGTGCTGCCCAATCTCATTGCTACACTTAATTCAGTAAAAGCCAAGTATTTGGCAACAAAACCTGCTGTGCCAACAAATATCAAGGTACTATTTACCAAGTCACCTATGTGCTCTGACAAAAATTGTCCTAGTTACATTGGAGCACCCTTTTTCACTCACAAAGACTTCAGAGTTCTTTTTTATTTGTTACTCAGTTGTATTCTGGTTCAATTTCTTACATTCGTCTTTCATATCCTTCACAGGTGAAGAAGTGGGGTTTCTCATTTGCTTCAATTTGGACCACAGTTGTGGGTGTCATGCTAATCAACTTTTTTGTTAAGATTGTGACTGCAACTGCACAGAGATATCTTAAAAAACAGCAGCGAAAGGAGTTAGCCAACCTAAAAGACGAACCTTCAGCTTCAAGCGTCTCAGATGACTCTCATCCTTTGTCTCAGTGAACTTGCAGAGCAACTTCATATGCCTTTTCCTTTTTTCTTTCTTCATTTTTTTCCCTGTTTAGAAGTAGGGGTGATGAAACTTGAGCGACAACTTTCATGAGTCGCCATTGAAGGCACCCAAAACATTCTCTGCTTCCAAAGCCATAATTAGAAAATTGTATAGAAAGGTCAGAAGCGGCAGGTTTATTTATTCGATGTAGTGTGGGGAAAGCTTGGGAAGGGTTGGTTCGGGGGGGAAGATGGTTGCCATTGTTAACTGGAACAGTACTATTCTTTGGCAATGCAAGCCAAATTATATGCTTGTGTTATTTTCCAATGCTCAGAATTCAGTTTTATGTATAAGTGATTGTCATACTGTAATTTGCATTTACGGAACAGAATAGGCTTCTCGTGTTCATATTTTCTTGGACACTTTTTTCCCAATCTATTTAGGTATGACAGGACAGGATTAATAGTCGACCTCAAAAATGTTAAAACAAGACTTGTGTTGTTGAGTATTTAGGTACAATAGGTTACAAAAATGGGAAAACAAGGCATACCAACACTGCAGGAACAGCTAAAAGAATTTGATGCAAGCATCTGGTGTATGAGGTTGAGCTTGGGGCTAACGGTAAATTTGGATGTCTTGGTTTCGACTCTTACTTGTGATACCTATAATTAACGGCTGACTATAGACATTTAAGGTTTACTTTGTGAGATGGGTCTAACGTAAGATGGGTCCAACACGACCCTGACTTGGAGGGATTTTTCATGTGCAAAGCATGAGATTTTGGGTCAATGTCTGCTACAAAGTTTTATGAGAAGTGGTAAAATTCTGTTGAAAAGTTCAAGAAAAAAGGAGAAAGTTTTGGGTTAGTATCTGCTAGAAAGTTTTATGAGAATTGGTAAAATGCTGTTGAAAAGAAGCTCAAGAAAAAAGTAGATGGGTGGTAGATGCATAGGGAAAGTTTGCAGGTAAGGTTCTGAGTAATAGTAGCTGGTCATTGTGATTTATTTTAGGTTCTCATCATTGTAAGCACATTCATAAATGGTGGCTTTTTTTTGACATATATGGCCCACCCTAACCTCCCACTCCGAATGGCACATTTTTTATGGGTTCTTTGAACATTTTTTCAATTTTTTCAATTTTTTAAGGGTATTTTTGGTAAAGTGGATGAATTTTTTTTTTTGAACATAAGGTGGATGAAAAAGTTGAAGAATAAAAAAATAGAAGTAATACACTTTGTGTTATTCAAGGAAATAATCATGCATTGCATTTCCTCCTTTATGTTTGGTAGAAGGTATTAAAAATAAAACGATTTTTTTTTTGTGTTTCGTATGGATGGAAAAATAGAAGTAAAAAATATATATAAATGCATATCTTTATAATTGTACGTATATATGAAATTAATGTGTGCATTCTATGTATAGACAAATAGAATATATGCACATATTAAAAGATATAAATGTATCAAACAAAGCATATATGTAGTTGGTCGATTTAGAGCATTTCTAATAAGGTTTTGTATTTTAACTATCCAAAAATATATTTTTTTTCTATATTAACTACTCACTTTTTCAATATACACTCTAATAGATTTTCTATATTTTAACTACTACTTTTAAATATTATTTCTCATGTTTTGTATCTTTGTTGGAAATGTTGGAAGAAGAGAGAGAAAGAACAGAGGGAAAGATAAAGAGTGTACAATAGAGGTGGAAAAAATAGGAGAAGAGAGAATATATTATAAACTATTTATACATGATGCTACAGTAGCAAAAATATATTTTACTTATTCTAAACATCTTCTTCTAGAGCATGATTTTTATCTTTGAATAGTTAAATTTTAACTGTTTTAAAGTTTTAATCATTCTCTCGTAGATCATCTTAAATAGAGAGAAAGCAGGTGTTTGTGTTCTTCTTTTAAGGTCATGCAATGAAAGGACAAAAATAAAATAAAATTAGTACCATACTGTATTTATCACTTTTGTGGTAACTGTTTTTATAAATTTTGTGGTACTTGCAATTGATCTTTAAAATATTAGAACAATGTTATAAAAATTTAATTTGGTAAACTTTTATTGTTATTCCCATTCAATTTTTTCCCTTTCATCATTATAATGGTGATGAACTACACAATAGGGAAATCATAGATCTTCAACTAAGTTTTCAAAAGAATTATCATCTAAATACTAAATGGTATCTTTTGATTTAGAAAATTCTCAGAAAGAACTTATAGATCAAGGATCGAATCCTGCCCTTCCCTAAAGCAATGGATGGATTTTAATCTAAATTCAAATTGGATCAATCGAATATGAATTGATTTTTTATCGATAATTCGAACCCGAATTTGTTATCTTATATTTTACAGATTCGAATTTAATATATATTAACAAAATTAAGAGATTATTTGAAAAAATTTAGTTTAAATTTAGACGTAATTTATAACATTTTAGTCAAATTAAGTCATTCGAATCGAATAGGGTAAGATTTCATATTAGATTTTGGATTGTTAACGAATTTAGACGCGGACCATAAAATAATATTCATCAGATATTTGGATCGAACTTTTAAATTCAAGTCTAGATTAGTCAAAATTCGGACCTGAGAGCAACTCCAAGGGGAGTTGCCAAAAATGGGGTGTCAAATGTCATTTTGTAACTTTCAACAATGTTTTGACACCTCTAAACAGTGTTTCTGCTTCAATGGTAGGTGCCAAAATGGAGTACCATTTTAATATTTTAATCTTTTTTATTAAAAAATATAATTAAACTTAACGGCTATAATTTAACAGGTATAGTTTTCATAACAATCGCAATTTAATAGATATATTTTTATAGTAAAAATTTAAATTTTCGGCGGACAAAATTTCAAATTTCAACCGTTGAAATTCAAATTTGAAAATTTAACTGCCAAAATAAAAATTAAAAAAAGTATAATTTATCTATAAATATGATCATTTTTCTCATGTTTTTGTTCATCTATCTTACATTCTCTCTATAAATTTAATATCTCATTTCTCTTTGATTATTTATCCTTTCATATTTTCATTCATCAAGTTATATGAATCGTTATCCTAATATTTTATGAGAGATCCTCAATATTAAAGAAGAAGATAATGATGACTTGGATATGTTGTATGTTGCAACTAGAAGGTCAAAAGGGTCTAGTCAGGGACGGATAAGAAGGCATCGTGGTTCCGTTCCAGGCCATAGAATAGTTAATTGTGGTAGAGTTGAAGGTCATGAAAGATTCTACCATGACTATTTTTCTACCCCTTGTGTATATAAAGATTTTTTTCAAAGGAGGTTCCGAATGAGTCGCCCTCTTTTTCTCCAAATTGTAAATGAGATTGAACAACAAAATTCATACTTCATCCAAACAACAGATGCCGTTGGAGTTCTCGATTTGTCATCCCTTCAAAAGATAACAACTGCTTATAGAATTTTTGCTTACAGAACATCGACAGATTCTGTGAATGAATATATCAGAATTGGAGAAAGCACTGTCATACAGAGTCTGAGAAGGTTTCTGAAAGCTATTATTGCAGTGTTTGGCGACCATTACCTGAGGTCACCAAACAATATCGATATTGCTCGATTGCTACAAACGGGGGAACAACGTGGCTTTCCCGGCATGTTAGGGAGGATTGATTGCATGCATTGAAAGTGGAAAAATTGTCTTACCGCGTGACAAGGTATGTATACTGGTCATTGTCATGAACCAACAATCATTTTAGAAGCTGTGGCTTCTCAAGATCTTTGGATATGACATGCATTCTTTGGGCTTCCTAATTCGTTGAATGACATAAATGTTCTAGATAAGTCCCATGTTTTTTAATTATTAACAAATATTCATGCTCCTCCAGTCAACTATATAATTAATGGTCATGAGTATACAATGGGATATTAGCTAGCTGATGATATTTATCCAAACTAGTCGATATTTGTAAAAACAATTCCAGTCCACAAAATTTGAAGAAAAAACATTTTGCTAAAGCACAAAAGTCGACAAGAAAAGATATAGAACGGGCATTTGGGGTACTTCCAGCCCGTTTTGCAATCGTGCGTGGACTAGCACGCTTTTGGGATTAAGAAATACTTGTAGATATTATGAAAGTGTGCATAATAATGCATAATATGGTCATTGAGGATAAAGGAAATATTGATAACAATGACTTTGATGGAAGTAATACAAATCCGCCTGTAGAAGTGTCGCATGCGTATACACCAGAATTGGAAGACTTCATGCAAATTCATTGTCAGATCAGAGACAATGTTACTCATTCTCAACTGCAATCAGATCTTATCGAGCATTTGTGGGAACGACATGACGACTAATAATTTTCTCAATTTCAATTTCATGTTGTATTTTCAATTCCAATTTCAATTTTAAGTTATACTTTCAATTCCAATTTCAATTTCAAGTTGTATTTTCAATACATAGTTTTTCATAAATAATAGTAACATAATAAATAATGACTACAAATTAAAAAAAATAGCAACATAATAAATAATGACTACAAATTAAAAAATAATAGCAACATAATAAATAACGACTAAAAATTAAAACCCCATTTTTTCATAATCTCTATCTTCAGGTTATTCCAATATGTTGCAGAAATTGGATTCATGCTAGTAGTGTCGGTTTTCATGATTTTCATTTCATTCTGCATTTCATTCTGCCTTTCAATTTCTTGCACTAGCCTTTCTTCAATTTCTAATTGTCTACAATATTGCTCCAATGCTATCTCCTGTTGAGCATAAATTTTGTCGTGTCGCTCAATTTTTTGTTGTTCCACTTCCATTCTGTCATTCCAGTGGTGATAATCTAGTGATGCTTCAACATCGGTTTGCTTCTCTTTATTTTTAAGTTGTTTCTTCGAAGTCTTTCTGCCCAATGGTCTATCGAGGTTGGGAGTGGACGAGGGTTCAATGTCATCCCCTAAATATGGAGTTGAATAGCAAAATTCAACACGAGTTGATTCAGCAGGACTACCAATTGAATGAGTTTTTGCTCTCTTATTGCTAGTGAGATTATCAGTCCATTTTCGCTCCATTTTCAATATATTCCAACATTACTCGTATTGAAATAGTCTTCCAATAATCTTAGCAAATATTTCTTTTGCGTCATTAACCCAAAAAACATATGAAATTATTCAGTCAATAGTTCAAATATCAAATCATAGTAGTGTCTAAATTAAAAGCTTAATCATTACATTATTTTGTTCGATGTGTCTACTTTGTCGCAGTCTTTCAATTTGACTATAAAAATCGACAAATTTGTCGTATTTTGCATTTATATCAGTCCAACGAGTTTTAATAGAAGATTGCAAACGCTCTTCTTGATTGCCTCCATGAAGTTTTAAGTATTGCGATATTCTTTGCCAGAAAACACCACCTT